GGTTTAGGGTTTAGGGTTTAACTTTTTGGGTTTCTATATCAACCATAATATAGGAGCTAAAAGTTTAACTTTTAGGAGGGGTTCAGAAGTCAGCCAAGCTCAGCTGCAGGGCTGTATAAGTTAAAGTTTCGAGTTTGGGGTTTTACTGTAGTGCTTCAGGTTTGGGTGTTGGGGTCCAGCCGTGATTTCACTTGGGTGTATAAACGTTTGGACTGGACACGTTCTCTTTCTATATGAGGCTACCGCAGTGTCATGCTTCCCTAAACCCTAGACCCTAAACCCTAAACCCTAAACCCTAAACCTCTTGTTTGGGGTTAAGTAAGGATCACTGATGTTGGATGTATATACGGCTTGCTCACGAGGGCTTAGGTATCTAAGATGACGGATTTGGGACCGGGGGTTTAGCCACAAAAATCCCCAAAACCCTTATTAATTCAGGAATGTACACGAAGTCGTATGAAACTTAACCGGAAAAAAGGCCGAAGCTTTAAGATTGAGGTATCTGCTTTATGGGAAGCTTCTGAAAGGACGATGCCAGTCTGCTTGACATTTGCAATCTTACTTAGGGCCCGAAAGAGAAGCCTTTATCGAATCCTTGTAGGAACCTTATAGAGCCCTTAAAGGACCATTGTAGAACTACAAAATGAACCTGAACCGACTGAACGGGGTTCTTTGAACCCCGAATGAAACGGCTATGAAGCTGTGTAAAACTCGTACCAAATTCTCCAAAAACCTTCATAGAGCTGTCTGAAACCTATGGCCTATGGCCGTAACGTTATGCCATAAGCCCTGAACCCTTGACGCTCAGCCACATACCCGAAGCCCAGAAAGCCAGGTGTTTCTGTTAGGGTTGACCTGGAGCCCTCCACGCCCCTCAGGCGAAGCCGGGCGGTTCAGCGACACCGGCGCAGGTGGTTTGGGGATTAATTTTAAACGCTTCGCGTCGTCCGCCTCGGCCCGGCCGCAAACAAAGAGGGCCAACGAACCTGGTGCTGAAGTCGCCGTTGGCGGAGCGGATGTAGAGGTGGGGTCTAGAGGAAGTCCGAATAGGAACCTCTGACCGCTTCGGCCGGGGGCCGAGGCGAATATAGGGGCCTTGATCTTACCCTCCAAACGCATTGTATGATCTTAAGAACAGGGTTCTATACCGGTGGACCCTCGTTTTTTGAATAGCGTTTGGAGTGCATCGTAGTCCGTTATATTGGACTACAAGGGGTTACTGATATGGAGGCTCCCTAGGTCAAGCCAAGAGATTCAACACGGTACGAGGCTTTGCGATTACGTTACAACTAAAAGGGTTTAGGGTTTAGGGTTTAAGTTTGGAGATCTATCTGCTCTGGTAGTTCGGGGATCAAGTAGATGGGGCAGTCGCCGCGCCGTGAAGTCTGAGGAGCATCCTTTCAGGTTGCAAAGGAGGGGATTCCTTTAGGGTTTAGGGCCCCCGTGCAATTGGTAACATAATTCCCTTCTTTGTATTGCCAAGCTCGAACCGTTGGAAGGCTTTGGAAACTCTAGGAGCACAGCCTCTTTGACTTAGTTCCGCCGTTCCTCAGACTTTCAGACGCTCGAACCGGAACACAAGACCTTAAGCACAGTCATGCCTCAAACACAAGAGCCAGCACGAAAAAACCAGTTGAACATCCAAAACCTTGCCAAACACAGTCAACACCTAACCTACCAAACCCTATAAACCCGATAAGCCCTGCAAACCCTAAATCCTACCAAAACCTAGGCCCCAAACAGTAAATCCTGAACCCTAAAAGCTAAACCCCTAAAGCAGCAAACCCCCAACCCCTGAACCCCTCTAGGTGCCATAAACAACCCTTAGAGGAGCCTTTAAAAGAGATTCAAGGTAACCCCAAACCCCAAACCCTGAACCCACCTCCGCGGCCAGCATCCTGCATTCCTTGCCGCGCGGGGTCCTGGCCGAAGCCTTGGTGCAGTTTTCGGGAAGGGTTTAGGGTTTAGGGTTTAGGGTTTATGGTTTAGGGTTTAGGGTTTAGGGGTTTAGGGTTTAGGGTTTAGGATTCTGAAGCGCCAACCCCCCGAGTTATGGCATATTTTTGTATTTGTTCGAAATAACTAGCCCTAAGGAATAGTATTGGTAATTGATTAGACGTTTCGGGGTTGACCTTAACCCAAACAACCCACCTATCTATTTATAAGCTTGTATGCTTAAGGGGTCATGGGACTTGGTAACTAGGCTTATAAATAAGGAAACTATACTTATAACTACTTATTACCCCAATTAAGGTACTTATAACCCTACTTACTAAGTCCCATGATCCTCCAAGTAAGGAAGTCATATCAAGGAAACCTGACAAAGTAGGTTTTATGGAAACCATAAACGCTAAGCCGGCTTGGAGTTAAGGGAGGATTGTAAGGCTCTTTGCACGACCCGGAAAACCCTTACCACCTCCGATAAAATTTGCCAAGATCCCGTCTAACAGTAAGTTTCTATACCCGTATAAAGACCTTGATTACGGCGTTTGTACACCCTAGAAACTCCCTTACGATACGGGCCCAAATAGTTGATAATGCAAATCCTTTGGGGTTTCTGAATCGACACATATTGCAACATACTCCACAACACTACCCCCTAAACCCTAAACCCTAAACCCTAAACCCTAAACCCTAAACCCTAAACCCTATTCTAACCCAGTGCCGAGGAGCGGCGGTCGTGGCGCCACCGGCAACGAGACCTCCTCCTGCACGCACGAGACCCGGAAACCCTCGTTTAGGGTGTAGGGTTGTTTCTTTTGTATTCGCTCTGTTCTTAAGAGATACTGGGGTCTGAGGTTTCGGGTACCTCACTTCGGTGCCTCCGTAGCCAGGATCCTAGGTTTGTTTTGTGCGCTCTAAACCCTCAAACCTCAAACCTTGATCTGATACCCCACCCAGAGAACCCAATACCCCTTAATTAAGGAATGTGCCTCAAATCATGGGGGCCTTAATATTATGATTTCAGGTATATTCCTTAAATAAGGGGTATTGGGTTCTCTGGGTAAGCCTCATACATTGTACAGGTTGGGTCTCAATCCTTGTCCCAAACCCGAATGCCTCTTCTTTCTAATCTAAACGTTCAGCCCCCATAGTCTTGGCATCCACAACCTTCAACCCTAAAGCCTAAAACTCCCGAACTTTCAAGTTCAAAACTTCCAAACTACCCGTTACCCATAGCATCAAAATAGCCCAATAGCCTTATATAATAGGGTCTTTGGGCCCAAAAGCCTTAAAATATGAGTCCTTAGAGTCCTAGGGTTAGATCAAGAAGAAATTTCTGGCCTCAGAGTCCCTTCCAAAAAAGCCATGACATGCCAGTAGGGTTCAAGGGTTTGCTTCCCTTCCAAACCCCCATGTAACCCTGATCGCTGTAACAACCACATCCCGAATAGCCGTGAGACTTAAGCCCTAGCGGCCGAAGGCAAATCCCTTCATGAAGTGTAGGGTTTAGGGTTTAGGGTTTAGGGTTTAGGGTTTAGGGTTTAGGGTAATACTCAGCAAGCTCTACACTAACGCCGCAATCCTTCATAAGGAACTGAATGACCTAGCATAAAGCTCGATTGAAGGCTTCCTACACCGCCCACAACAAACCGTGTGAAGCCGTACAGCAACCCTAAACCCCAAACCCAAATCCCTAAACTCAAAACCCTAATCCTAATCCCAAAACCCAAAACCCTAATCCCTACACCCAAAACCCTAAACCCAAAACGCAAAACCCTAAGCCCAAAACCGTAAACCCCAGAACCCTAGAGCCCTGTTTGTACCCTCATAGTCCCCCTTTTGGAGCTTTTATAGAACCCTTACGGTTAAACCGCAAGGGCTTGAAAGCCCTAAACCTTAAACCACACGCCCCCGAAGACCCTAAACCCTAAACCCCTAAACCCCTGAACCCTCAACCCTACACTCACCCTGAACCCTAAACCCTGAACTCACCCTAAACCCTAATACCCATAGTTAAACTACAAGGCTTGCCTGCCTAAGGTTGAACCCATGGGCCCCTAACATGGGCCCTTAGGGGATTCTAGGGTCCCTGAAGGGTATCTATAGGGTATATAGTAGGTATATTAGGGTCCCAGGGTTAAGGGCCCATACTAGGGGCCCATGGGTTCTACAGGCTGAACCCTAAACCCTGAACCCTAAGCCCTGAACCCTCA